TTACTTCTACCAGCCCTGACATACAAGCTACCTTGGATGAAAAACAGCAAATTTTTAACCATGGATAGAAACATTACACGACTGATTTGAACAAACAGCAAAAAATGGATCATGCTAGAAAGAACAGCAGGAATCTATACAGCAACTGAGGATATCCATGCTAAAATTTAACCATAATAATGTGAATACCATCTTGATTTACTACACCTATGATAGGATTTTCAATAAAAATGAGAATGGTTAGAATTGTCTGTCTACCTTGATGTCTCATCCCCCAATCTACATCATCCTTCTCTCACCATTTTTTAGCTTCATACTGAGACACTGACTTGAAGGAAAATATTCAACATCTGTAGCTGAAATACATATACATTTCTACATACACATGTGTATGTGTTTAAATAGGAACAATCACCACAAACTCATTGGGAAAAGGAAGAGCAAAGATTACCAAAACAGCTGGAAGATCAAAGGTCACACAAAAACATGCAGCTAACCCAGAAAGGACAAACACTGTGCCAAGTAGTATTTTGAAAATAAAAAATTCCAACAATTCTGCCCCTAAAATACTCAGCCAGTACCAACTCTACTAATGATGATGGCCTTGAAAAACTAAAGAAACAAAGAGGCCTCCGAAAGGCACAGTTCTGGACTCAGGGCAGCAGTAAACTAGAATAAGTAATTATGTAATCACAGAAGAACAAATTCAGGAGGAAGCAATTGAGTAAACATTAAATACAAGTGTGTTTTCTTAGTTGGAACAGAGAAGTCTGTGGAAGAGTTTAGACGGACCATGAGAAGAGCCATGAGACTGCAAGAATTTTTAACTGTCAAAAAATAAAACAAAATCAGTACTCTAAATCCACATTGAAAAATAGCAATGAATTATTTTTTTTTTTCTGGATTTAGCTGAAAAAGACTGCTAATAGCATGCAATTGGATCTATCAGAAGTACAGCCAGGCAGCACAAAGATTGCCTCAAGGGCAGATAGTTTTCAAATAAAAATACAGGTGGTGCACCTGCATGAGTGAGCTTTTTAATGATGCATGGAGTCGACATGAAAGACATAACTGTGATTGGTTAGATAGACGATAGTATAGCAAGAAAAAAAGAGATTAGGAACACCAGCTGAGCTTGGAGATAACATAAGAAAAGTTATTGTTAAAGCAAGATTTAAGTTATAACAACACAGCGGTAGTAAATTGGAAGATGTTGTATGATAGGAGACTGAGCACTGCTCCCAGTTCTGCATCTGACAAGTGACACTTCTGCCAGCAAATCATTTAATCTCTACACATCCATCCATCTAGGCGTCAGATAGGTTTATTGCCTTCAGACTTTATAAGAGTACCATGAAATTTAATTCATTAATCCCTGGAAACTATGCTTTAATCCTTGGATGGAAGGTGCTGGGAAAGGACACCATATTACAAAATTAAGACTATCTAATGAAATATTATTGTAGTGACTTTAGTGAACTCCTTGTCTGCCTCTCTCCTGTTTTGAGTTCCTGGGTTCCACAGCGCTTCAGGACTTTCTTGTTTCTTTGTCTCGGGTTAGTAGGATGAGAGCTGTGGTCACAAACCAGGAACATCAGTGCTGTCCATGGGACAGACGATTAGCACTTGCTCCCATAATATACAGAGAATACAGAGAGAATCCTACTTTATCTGGGTAGTCACAGACATTATTCTAAAATCTTATGCTAGATAGTACTGTAAAAAGCAGATGGAAAACTACAGGGGGTATGGAAAGAGTAATCTAGGTCCAAATCTTTCCTGAAGTTACCAAGAATGAAAAGTTAGGGGCTTGAACTGGCGTGAGCTGAAGACACTAAAACCTTCCAGAAATGCAAATGAAGCACCTTGCATAATTAGACTCAAGTATTCCCTTTAGTATGAAGAGGGGAAAAAAAACAAAACCAAACCCAAACTTCCAAAGGTCTTTAGAAGTGTAAAATATTGTAGATTTTTATATATGCAGAAGAGAGGCATGTTCAGTCCTACACTGTCTTTAATGGCTAGACATACATTCATCAGCTGTGCTTTTCTATTTCAATCCTAATTCCAATTAGACTAATAAACTGGAGTAATATGAAATAAGGAGGAATGCAAAGGCAGCAATATGAACTCGGGGATCAGGGAAAGTAAAGTATAATATGTTAGAGCTTTGTTAAAAAACAATAATGGACTGGTGACAAAAATCTCAGCCTTTTATCAAAACTCCGTTTTCTAATACTCAACCTGTTCTTTTTGATCAGGGCTGGTTATGTAATCCTCAGCCATGCCACATTTTTGCTGAAATCATGCGTTTGATTTCTAGATTTTTATTAGTACCAAAGACAGCGAGAGAATTAATTCATCCCCAAATAAAGTATAGGAGGGTTGGAGCCTGAGCACTGATACACCTTCATCTGGGCTAGATGGCAGTAAAAGAAAATGCTTACGACAAGAGAGACATAAGCTCAAGTAACCAGAAAACAAAGGGAAAACAACGCACACAAGAATGCAAATCCACCTCGCTCTGCCGTTCAAAGACAAGATTGATCACGTTCTCTTACCGACATGGACAGCCTGTGGCAGGAGGCCTGAAAAATCCAATAAGGAAAACTGCCCGGGTCCCCTGTTTAGAGCTATATATTAATTCTTGATATTTAGCATGGCTTGTCAAGAATAATGCAGTATTGCACAATTCTTCATGAGTCTTTCCTGCCTTTTAGCTATGAGTCACCATTATATTAGGAAAAAGTGAGCTTAATTTAGACAACACGGAAGGGTAAATTACATATTCTCTTAAGGTATCTGATCCAGGGGACTTACATATTTATTTAAAGTCTCATTTCTCTCATCTACTCTTTTTCTTAAAAAATAAAAGTCTGAAAATTTCATTAATTTTCAGTAAGAGGCATCTGAGGAAGCAACCGTAGTCCTGGACAAGAGGGAAAGGGCTTTCTGCATTTGATGGAGGACTTGAGATCTCTGCTACTCTCCCTCTCCTGCAGGAATGACTTAAAGGAAAAAAATATTCCTTCAGTATTCTTCCTCCTGCAAAATGTATTGTCCCAGTCTACCTAGCAAGAAGGAAAATGGAAAAAACTGCAAACGAATATTAGCATTTAGAGCCATTTCCTCAAGACAGATCTTGTTAGAAAGAAAACGTCTGGTTTGATAGCAAACTCCACCGAGGCTAGAAAAGGAGGAGTACATGTGCCCTTTTTAGTACATGTTGATATTAATGTGATCCCAACTGAAAACAACAGCGAATCTTAACTGCTTTAAAACCTCGTTGACCAAAGCTTTTCTCTGGCGTTTAGTAGCAGTTCCAAAAGGTTTGCAAGGAGGTTAACAATGATGTACAGTAAGATATGTCTGAGTAACTCTTCAGGTTTAGGTATCTGCAAAACCTTACCAAAAAGGAAAGAAAGAAAGAAAAAAAATTAATAGAATGATTGAGATGAATTTGCATACTTGCTACTACAGTAATTAAAGACACTTTTCTTATAATGTGAATGTCTCAGGCATTTCATTTATAAGGAAGATTGACATGCTGATATATTTTACTTCCAAGTTACAAAGTATTTCTCTTTCATTGCAGCTACTCTCTGAAATTTATTAAAGGCAAATAGTGAGAGAGACTGATAAGAGAAAGAAACAGTGAGTAACACTGAGTCAGGACTGCAAATACTTCGGGATTCTACATCCACCATAGCCCTCGATATGGGACCAAGATGGTCGAAATAATCAGGCATTTGCTCCCCTCTGTCCTCTCCATCCCCGATTTTTTCACTCTCCCACATCCCACCCCCTAATGCAAACTGACTCCTGGGTCCCACCTCTGCTTTGTGTTGCCCAAGTCTGATGAGCTGGTAATTAACAGAGAAGACCTCCCAACATTTTCTTTGGACATTCTTCCAGGGGAAAGGATTTCCTCCAAAATGGATTGTTGTGATGCGAAGTACAGAAAAAGACAAGAACTGTGAAATGGTCAGGAAATAGAGGAAATTAGAGGGAATAAAAATGTCCTGCCTGTACTACAGCATGTTCCAATAATCAGTCCATGTGTATTTCCTTCAAAGTTCCACCACTGGAAACAAAATGGCTGTTGAAGTATTATATTTTAAAGAAAGGGAAAAAGGGAAAAAGGGGGGCAAAGGGGGGGGAAAGGGG